CCCGCGTACGTGTCCGCCAAAATTTTTTTCGGGTAATTTCATAACTCGGGTATCTGAGAAGCTAGAACGCTGAAATCTTAGGGGATGTTCCCTGTCCAAGTGGGTATTAACGGGTTCAAACACTGCCCGCGAATAAGCGTGGCACCTACGTACGGGCCCGTGAAAGTTTCTTCCTTATAACTTACTAACTCGAGAACGTGAAAAGCTAGAAGACTAGAATTTTTAGGGGATGTTTCCTAACAGTTCTGGCGGCCAGTCTGAAATTCTTTCAGCTAGAAGCATCTACCGCAAAAAACAGTGCTACTGCCGACAAAAATCTGAAGGGAACTGTGCAAAGAACGCATCTTCGCACGGGCAACCCGTGCGTTGGCCAATTATTTTTTTTATTTATCCTTATATTTTGCAAAAATTCTCCGAGAAATTTGCCGTTTGGATCATCTTCTAACTTTAAAATATTTTTCTATTTAATTCAGCAATCGTGTTTTAATTTTTTTGACTCAAATTTTCTCATTTTTTACTCCCAGATGGACAGTTTGGCGCTGTTTCTCCATAAAAATCAATGGAAAAATATTTGCTTGGGAAATTTTTTACTTTTAGAACCTATCATTTTTCTTTATTAAACTCTGTGGACGTATTTCTTTGGGGATTTTTTTTTTACTTATTGTGGACCAACTTGCTTTTAACTTTTTGCAAAAATCTTATTTATTTTCAACGTACTCTTCACCGGGCATTGTCACGGTGCCTAATTAGCAGTGGTGTAGAGTTTACTGAATGATTTCAAAACGGTGCAAGAAGGTGTTATTGTATCGCAGCTACTTCGTTATGCACGTATATGCACTCTTCCAGAGGGATTCCATGACTGGACTAAACGGTTTAGAAGTATCTATAGACATAAAAAGTTTGATATTGCCAAAATAGGACGTTTCATTCTCAGTTTCTGCTTCTGGAACCGATCAGTAAATTTACCTTCTCTGATTATTCAGGAATTAAACGCCTAGTCAGCACGCTGTCCTAATAAAAAGTGTTGCCTCATAAATGGCATATAATGATTGTCCGTATCATTGGTTAACTCCCTCTTCCTTCTCTCGTTTCACATTCTGTCTACTCTCTCTGTCTCTGATTTCTCTTTCTTCCACATATTTGTCTTGCAAATTAGTTGCATGACTGTTCAGAACATGGTGGATAGGAGGCTGTACTGATGATTCCTGCTCCTACCCACATGCAAAGTTCGGTCTGTTCATAGCTAAGGGATGAAACACAGAGACAGACTGCATTGTAAAATGTCTTCTTACATGTGACACTTAAGTCCAATCCCTCTATTCTACTACTGTAATTTTAATTTTAGATGATGTGTGTTTATGTAAAAAGTAAGGGTTTAAAAGTATGGGAATAAAAGGAAGGTGAATAAGATAAATCGGAATAAAAACCTGAACAGGAATGTTTCGGTCCATCAACTCGCATACATTCCTGTCCAGTGCTGCAACTACTTCATGAATGACAAGCGATACCTCAGTCTGTCACTCGAAATTCACGAGAGGAACGTGCTGTGGACCAGATGTGCTAATTTCAGAATTCGGGGCTTTCCATACAAATTTTTTTGATAAAAAATTTTGACTGTGTTTATTTACATATATTTAAACACAAAAAAATTTTTTTAAAAGCTACACAAATGCTAATGATTAGCAGTTCTCCAATTTTTTAATTGCTATCCTATCAGCCCATGTAATATTGAGAATTCGCGACTTTCTACGTAGAACTGGTATAAAATTTTAACTACGTTTTTTTTTTACATATATTTAAAAATTCAAAAATTTTTGTACTAAAGGCTGCACAAATGTTAATGGTTAACAGTTCTCCAATTTCTTTCGTAACATCCCCATCTTTATATGATTTTTATTAACTATTATTTCTTAAATTTGTTTGTTTAAACAACCTTTAATAATAACTAATTTTTTATAGAATTTATGTATTTTATCAGCGCCAACATATATTATGATGGAAAGGTTCAGTTGTGGTGCTGAATAGAAATGTATATATGACTTAATGGATCGAAACATTCTTGTTTACCTAATTTCTGAACTTACTTTTATACTTTTTGTATATATCATGATTAATATCTCTGTTCACACTCATTGCATTGATACTTCCAGATACAACAGTTTCGATGTCGCAGGCCCAACGGCTTTCATCAGTGCAAGGTTATCGTTTAGCATATCGAGAATTTGAGGATCTTTTCTGCGTTTCATAGAGATACTCCACACAAATAAGCTTATGCCCAGGGCAATTCTCGCTGACAATTTTTCCGGCTAATTTCATGACTTTCAGATAGTGTTGGCTCATATTGCCACTCAAAATTTACCAAAAAAATCGCTTGAATTTTTCGAAAACTTCAAAAAAGTACAGCTCCATGTAACAACTGTACCTTCTTGGTTAATAGCTGGGTTAAAATTCCTGTAAATATATTTTTTGCAAAAATTTTTTGGTATATTTACATCGTTTTGCGTATAATAAGAAAATTTTCTTGTAGAACGCAATTATTCAAATGCTAATACTGTGCTGTATGAGGAAAATCGACGTTCAGGTGGTCGACCGCGCTATGGCAAAAAAACATTGGCTGCGCCGAAACGCCCAAAACGATACAGGTGAGCAGCCCCTGTTGCATGTTTGCTGGTGCA